TTGATATCAATTGATAGAGAATCATTTGAATCTGTGGGTGACAGTAGGGATTCTGGCGGACTCCCTCTTGATGTACGTATACATGTATACTCAAAACAGACAACAAAGACACCTATACACCCCCCCTCCTCCCCAAACACACGTACACAGATTATGTTCTTAGTGAAGCCATTTTGTAGTTTCTCATCTGGCAAATGTATCCCTTACTATTATAGTTTCTCACCTATACACATAAACATAGGTTATGTTTTTTAGTGAAGCCATTTTTGTTGTTTCCAAATGCATCTCTTAACTATTATTTCATTTATTGCCAGCATATCAACCCTGTTTTTCAAATCTTGTACCAAAGTAGTTTTATTCTTCTTCCTAGGTTTTTCATGCATTTATTCGCTCTTCCTAAGCTCTTGGTGTGTGATTTATTGTTTTCCTTTTCTCACATGCTTGGTTTGTTAATTTCAAGTTATGCAGTTCCACTACCTTTTCAGAATGTTTCATCACCATATATGCTAATTTTTTCTTTTAAATATTGCTTTGTCCTTCTTCAATAAGGTCCTTGCTTCAATGGCTGATGCCAATGGGCAGATTTCTGCCGCAGCCATGGAAAGACTTACTGCTGCTGCTGCAGCTGAGCCTTATGAATCTGTTACCTGTGCTTTTGCATCTTATGGAAGCTGTACAATGGATCTAGCTGAGGGTTGGAAATACAGGAGCCGTTTATGGTATGGTGTTGGCCTTCCTTCAAAAACAGATGTCTTTGGTGGTGGTGGCAGTGGATGGGAATCTTGGAATTCTTCCTTGCAGAAGGATGCTAATGGAGCGTGGATTGAACTGGCTTTGGTAAAGAAGTCAGTAACCATGCTCCAAGCATTATTGTTGGACGAGTCTGGAGTTGGAGGGGGTCTTGGTATTGGTGGAGGATCGGGTACTGGGATGGGAGGAATGGCAGCACTATACCAGTTACTGGACAGCGACCAGCCATTCTTATGCATGCTCCGAATGGTGCTTCTCTCTATGAGGGAAGAAGACAGTGAGAAAGAAAGTATGCTTATGAGGAATGTGAGCACAGAACATGATATGTTGGAAAAATTCCAAGGAGGCGAGATCAAGTGCTTGGATAGCAGGACCAGCGCAGCAATGAGACAACCACAATCAGCATTGTTATGGAGGTAACTCTACCTGAGTTGTTTTCCGAGTTCCTCCTACTGTTTATGATTAGATTATTTCATTCCTCTTGTCAGTGAGAAAAATATCTGGGATGTTGAGGGCTACTAGCTAACCTTTAGTATATTTTAGGCAAAAACCGTTCTTAAGCCCCCAAACTTATCCCAAAATAGCATTTAAGCTCCTAAACTAAAAACAATGCAAATAAGCTCTCTAACTCCATTAGCAATGCAATAAAGCCCTTCTCTTTCATGAGTATTCATGTTTTCAAGGTGATATTAAACATGAAATACCATTTGGCCCTTTTGTGAGAAGAGTTTATTTGCATTGTTCGTAGAGTTAAAGGGCTTATTTGCTTTGTTTTTAGTTTAAAGGTTGAAATGCTATTTTGGGGTAAATTTGGGGGCTTAACAGGGGATTTTGCCAATTTTTATTTTTTGATTGGTCCTCACCTTTAGTAAGGACTGAAGCATGATTATACCCTGTAGTATCTTGGTAGTTTCGCTGGAAATCCTTTTAAAATAATTTCTTTATAGCTTTTAATCGTAAGTCAGAAATCGGTGTTGGGGATATTCCTAGAGTACTTTATCAAGTGGTGACAAACCTTGAAAGTTATAATGTCAGTTCAATTTGTCTTTTGTGATTCCATATTTACATTGCATTCAACTCTAGTGGACCTTTTTCATTTTTTAATTCTTTCTTTGTGTACAGTTTCACATGGTACCATG